TTCACAAGCTCATGTAGGAATTAGCCCTGAGAGTGAGCATGAATAAAGTTATTTTCCATCCTCACCACTTACACATACACCCTTTACTCCACTCTGAATTTCAGGTTACCCTTGTGAGAAATGAGCACCACACTGCACATTAATGTAAAGCACTGAGCTCCGGAAACACTCCATATATCTTAGTTCTTTCCCCTTCACTGAACTTCAGAGGGCAGCCGCTTTCATTCCACACTTAGGACTGGAAGCCCTGAGTTTCAGGGCTGCGAAAGTGTGCTAGGATAGCCATCAGCATGGCTCCAGGACCAGGTGATGTGGGCCTGCTGTGATGGGTAAGGTGGTGAGGTGCTCAGCAGGATGATAGTGGACCCCAAGTACAGGAAAAGCACTAAGAAAAATGAGACCAGAGAAGCCAGGGGAGGTCTCATGGGTGGTGTAATGTTTTCTTTCTCTTTTAAAACTGAGGCAAGGAAGGAATAGAAACAATGCTTAGAGCAATTCTGAGCCAACAGCCCCCAGGCTTATGTCTCTGATGGGTGCAGTCTTTTACACTCACCCTTGCACATGCCTGAATCTACTTCCTCATCATTTCTCTTTTGCTCTTTTAGGCAAGATTGACTTTTACTCTAGTTTTCCTCTTTTCCTACAGTAATTTTGACCTCCAGGAGGTCTGAAACTAGGATAAGGGTTCAGAAATCCTTTGCCTGTTGACATCCTGCTTCACAAATGACAAACGGCAGTGATGTGACTTACTTAGATTCCAGAGGAATGCAGGCTGAGGTGTGCACCTGAGTATTAATTGATTTGGCTTTTAATATTAATGAGCCTATGATTTGGTCTAGTTGACCTTCAAATTCAAATTAGATTCTGATTAAATAACAAGACGAGTGAATTTGGATTTGTTTAAACAGCACTCTCCCCTCCCCCAAGTAAAGTGACTTGGCCTCGGCAGGGATGAGGATGAGCTATGAAAATTATAGGGACATTTATAATAGGGAATCCTCTCTGACCCAAGGAAATTGCATCCTAAGTAACTACAATGATAACCACTGTTTCTGACATTGCCATGAATTTTTCTCATGTGTTTATACAGCTCGTCATTTGACTGCATATGTGTTTCTAATAGCTTTAATATAATGCTTATGAGCTAGGTATGGTGGCACACGCCTACAGTCCCAGCCCTCAAGAGGCTGAAGCAGGAGGATTGCAAGTTGGAGCACAGTCTGAGAGACTTTTCAACTTAGCAAGACCCTTTCTCAAAATTTTAAAAAGTGAAAAAGGGCTGAGGATGTAACTCAGGGTGAAAACCTCAGGATTGATCCCCAGTACTAAAAAAAGAAAAACAAAGCTTTAACACTTGTACTTCTGGATTGGTTTTAGAGAATTTAAGTACAAAACACCATTAAATTAATAGGGCATTTTTATCAGCACAGCAAAAGTCCTTTGATAAACAAGGAAATGCCCTGGTTGACAAGAAACCTCAGAATGTCTATCAATCCACAGATATTTTTCAGGTCAGCTGTTCCTTGGAGTTAATTTCAGCTCAATTCTGGTTGCTACATCTTTGGCCTCTACCCCATGCGGATGAGCTATTCGTCAGCATAGCTCCCTCCTCATATCTTATTCTCCCCAGCTTGAGTCCTGCTCACCCGATGGCTGTAGTGACTCATTGGGAACAGATGTTTTCAGTAGGTAGACACTGTGGACATGGCAATTTTGCTCCTGATACCTAAGCTCATCAGTTGTATCTCCCATTAGCTCAGTTAGCAGTTACATGGGGTAAGTGGGACACGAGCACTGGTGCTTGGTTCCCCATGAGAAATATGTCTGGAATATTTGAACAAAAGTGCTTCATAGAAGACGCCTGGGTTATAATTCTTCTTAGAATTCTTCAAATTTCACTTAACTGTTCAGTTTTTTTAAAAAATCTTATTTTCCCCCAAAAGGGGCAATAGTGTTCTCATTTTTGCTTGCTTGTTTCCAATCCCTACACTCTGGAAGCCACTAGTTTCTAGTGGGAAACAGTTAGAATGAAGGTAAAGCCAGCCTACAAAGCAAGCTGGAAATAGCTGAATAATCCTCAAATGTCATGGGAGTTACATCGGAAAGAGAAAGAAGGACTGGTCTAGAATATGGGTGATTCCAAAGCCTAAGATACTAGGACAGGATCAAAGTCTGGAAACAATAAGAACAAGTGCTCCTAAAGGAACTTTGATCAGCAAAAATGTTCTGCCACTTAAACTGGAGAGTGTAATAAGCATTTCTATAAAGGATCTTATAGCTGCAGAGCTCTAAAATTGTTCCAGTGTCACCGAGAAGAGATATTTCTGCATGAAAGCTAATAATGGAGAATGTTTGAAATGAATTCTTAACACTTATAATTTCCTTTTAACCTCATCTTGACCTCAATCTTGGAGAATTTCAGTGGAAAATTCTTTTCATTCTATGCCATGCATCTATCAGTCAAGATGACAGTTCCATAAGCATTAAACACTTGGTGGAAGCCTTAACCAATAATCAATTTTAAAAAATAGTCATGTTGGGCTGGGGATTTAGCTCAGCAGTTCGGTGGCCTGCCTTGCAAGCGCAAGGACCCGAGTTCAATCCCTGGTATCAAAAAAATAAATAAATAAATAAATAAAAGTCCTGTGTATGCTATTGCCAAATAAAAGAGGCAAAAATCATATCTTATATGTTCTATTCTTAATTGAACCTGAATTACATACTAATGTGGATATCAAAACACTTTTATTTTTCCAAATAAATAGGTTAATGAGAATTAACAGCTTATCTCAGTAAAATCCTTACAACTTCACATTTAGTCTTTGAGAGAACTGCATTTGTGACACATAATAGAATTCTTTGATGGAGTTACCACTATTAAAAGTTTTATTGTAAGAAAAAGCCCTATGAGTATTTTAAACATTGATCCTAGCACAAGCAATTAGTGGCATGAGAGCCTAAAAACATCAAGAACAATCACACATTGTGTGCTTCTACAGAGGTGTGATATCTCAAAACTAAACAACTTAACAGGAAGACCTGGGCTTGAAGCACTCAAATTAAATGATTCTGTCTCTCGCTCTCATTTCTTAAAATCTGCCATTTGACTTTATAACACTTTGAATTTTTACATAAGCTAAGTTATTGGAAGGTCCAAGTTCTTTCTCCCTCAAAATGAGCATCACCTTTTGTCTTTTCTTTCTGACATGATCAGGTTTATTTATCTTACTAAGATGACCTGGAGTTCAGAACCTCTGTGGATATTTGACACAAATTATATTTTTAGATATAACAAATGGTTTCTACACTGGGGATGCCAGAACTCACATCTGAGTAACATGAAAGGAGGTATCAGGGGATTCAGTGGAAAATTGGAAATGAACAAGAAAAGGACCCCTCCAAATGACAATGGTATGAGAGGTACTGCATTGGGCCAACCACATCTCCTATAGGAATGAAAAATTTATTCTAGGTGCAGGCAGACTTTGTCCATCTCTGACTTCCAGAATTACACTCAAGGCCATACCCTCTTCCCCAGGCAGCCAGTGTGACTTATCCATGAGAAGTGTGAATGGTCTGGTTGTCTTATCCCAGTGGGAACACCTCAGGAGGGTCAAGCCATGTTTGGGCTTCCTGTACAGTCAGCTGAAATATTTTTTCTGAGAATACATACACTTTAACCTCTCCCTTGCTCCAGCTTCACTTTTGTCATTTTTTTATTAGATGGGATGATTTCCAGAGCTTCCTAAATAAACATATGCTTCCTAATCTCCATCTCAACCTGTCTTGTGGAAAGTCCAGGCTCCACAAGTGCCAGGTGAACAGTCTAAATGACTGATGTATGCTATTGTACTCTCTGAGGTCAACCCTATGTCCCCATTTTACAGAGAAGACTGAAGCATGCAGAGGTTCATTACTTGTCATTTCTTGCTCTCTCCTTATTCATTACTTAACTTACTTGTTAAAGGTCACTTACATTGCCAGTAGCTGAGCTAGGATTTAAGCCCAACCACATGGTACCGGAATTCACATTCTTAGCAACTTCCTTCACTACATAAGCACTTGATTTTGGAAAAAATAAAAACTTTCCAGGCAACATGAAATGGAAATAATGGTGTAAGTAGCTGAGCAATAAAACTCAAGACCACTTTGACTTTATAAACACTGGTTCAAAGAGTACCGAGTGTCAACAGTAACTGTGGATCTATTTGCACAGTAGACCAAGTTGACAAGTGCATTCAACATATGTGTCTTAGGCTTCTGAGTAGATTGCATGGTTTACCAGATGTCCATGTGTACAAATATAACAATCCAGTCTGTCATTCACTCATAGCTAACAATGACAAATATAAAATAAGGTGACTTTTTGTGTGTGTAGAGACTTGCCAACTAACTAATCAAGAGGTAGACAGAAAGGACTATTTGTTTTTTTGTCAGATAATTTTAAAAAGCACTGGCATCCTTACATCAATGTTCCTCTTGTTCTTCAAATTTTTTCCCTACAAGAGTCATTTTTATAATTTTCTGCTTGAAATATTTGGGTCAGTAACATTGTCTTTTGGAAATTTTCTATTAAATAGAGAATGACAAACTTCCCAAAGATTTTTTTTCTAATAATGTCTTTCAAACATTGCTTTCATGGATAGTAGAGGCTCTGGTAGGGATCTTCAAATACTACTCTTTCAAATTGATTCCTGATGAGTCGTTATAAACAGCAGAATTGACTAATTATTATGTCTCAAGTAAATATCTTCTCTAACCATTATTTCTCTGATCACTCTCTTTCATAAACAGCTGTTTTTTTCAGGAACAATGTAAATGTATATCTAACTTCTGAAGAGTCTAGATATGGAATAAAAACAAAATGGATGTGAATTTTGTATTAAGAGAAATTTTAAAAGGTTTAGAATTGCTCGCCTTTTAATTTTTCAATATAAACAAAACTCAAACATTCTATATTTAAGAGTCTGATTTTCAGATGTACTAAGTAGCCTCATTACCTTCATCTTTACAAACTTCAACTGTCTCTTCCATAGCAGGACTGGGCACAGTTGTGTTGACACCATCTATAAAGCAGAAAGGAAAACTCGGAGTTAACACTGTCAAACGGTGATTTTCTGGCCCCTGTTACTTCCCTCCCTGTTCCTCCAATGAAAGTACGAGCTCCTTTCATGTTGCATTACACCCAGTGGTCTTTGAAAGGGCTGGAGGGTTGTGGTTAGTTTTTATAATTAATGAAATAAAAACCTTCAGTTTAAGATCAGAGACCAATGGACTTGGCAAAGAAAGGTATTTGTTGTTAGTAGTACACTAACATCCATGGTAGCATTTTCTTTTTCCACAATTCTCACAGGATGGAATATTATTTTTCTTAGTAACAGATTGTGAAGGCAAACATATCCTTGCAAGTTTTTGCAAAGTGCCATTATGCATATATGTTTGAAAGTTTGGCTTTTCTTAAGACAGCACTTCTGTGGACTGCCGCAATGCAAGGCTGTGGGGCTGCAGGGAGGAGCTCTGTGACTGCTGGAGCAGAGACCCAGGAGAAGAAGATTATTCAGAAGAAGGCATCAAAGCTATTTTGGGAATTCATATTGCCAAGCTTACAGTGGGCACCAAGGGTGTGGAGATGCCTGTCCTCACAGCACCAATTAGCCTCATAAGAGTTGATCTCACTTCTTGGTATCACCAGTACTACAGGGACTCTGCTCATGTTTGGCCTCCAGGATGAGAGATAATTAGATCCTGACTTTTAAGACATGAAAATTTATTAAAGTCATTTGGAACTGTTAAATACCTAACAAATGAAAAAAGAATATATATTCTAAAAGTATACATATATATTCTAAAAATAGTAGTCATGGAACTAAGGATAACTCCTATCTACATGGTAAATAAGACACATTTAGAGCCAAATCCCAGATCTTTTGGGTATAATACATATGACTATGACCTTTAGGTCATGTCTCTATTGGAACTGAGAATAAAAGTTTTAATTGTGGGGATAACAAAAGACAATGAATCACTTTCTTTTGTTAGGTAGCGGTTTTCATCTTAAAAAAGAAAACTACTTCTCTTGATGTCAAGATATCTTCCCACTTCTCCATATCCTTTCACAGCAAAGTTGCCTAGAAGTTATTGCTGTTGCCCTCCACTTCTTTACTTTTTTTTTCACCCTGGAAATCGAGCTTAGCTCCTCACACTTGCCAGGCAGGTGCTGTGCTGCTGAGCTACATCCCTGGCCTTACTCTCCACTTCTTCACCTCATGAGCTCTCCATAACTCACTCCAGTTGATATTTTCTCCAGTGTTCCTGCAAGAATTCTCCTATCCAAGGTACCAGTCATCTTCCTTTGCATAGCTAATGGTCATTCTCCTTTTTATTTCACTTGTCTTCTCAGTAGCATTCCCAAGTCTTCAATCTAGTCTACTTAGACTTCCTTGTGGTGGCTGTGTCTTCTGTCACTCCATATCTAGATGTCATGATGTCGCAGTCCCATTATCTTCATTATTTGCAAGTAATGCAACCAGTGAATCTCATACACACCCATGATTTTAAATCTTATTTATATGCCAGTGAGTTCTAAAGTTGTATCTATAGTCCTCACTTCACCTTGGACAGCTGGAATTGTATATCTAACTAGTTTCATGATATCCCATATGGCTGGCTGAGAATCCTCTCAAATTTATTATATCTAGAACTGAAGCTTTAACTTTTTCAACAGAAACTGTGTCCCATATCCCTGCTTCCATATATCAGCCAGTGACACTGCAGATACTGAAAACCGAGGACTGAACCTGGACTCCTTTTTCCTAAGATGCCTCATCCAGGTCATCATCAGATCCTGTTGTTTCTGTCGCCACAATATGGCATATCCCAGTCCTTTTGCCTCAATTTTCAGAAAGTGCCATCCCTGGTTTCTTCCAGTAGCTTTCTAGCAGGTCTCATTAGACTTTTTATCCATGTTCGCTCACAGGCAAAACTTTTCTGGTTTAATTAAAGTTAGAGCATGTCATCGTGGTACTTAAAATCTTCCATGGACTTCTCCTTGTTGTTCTAATAAAGTCAAAGTATACAAGGTTAGACATGACCTCTTACCAAAAGAAGTGCTATGACCTCCTACCAAATAGCATACCATTCTCTCTCCTGAGCCTAGCTCATTACAATCACACTGGCCTTTCCCCAACATTCTAGCCCAAACTAGTCTTGGGGCATTTCATTACCTGTTGTCCCACTTAGAATACTTTCACTGTCTTATCATCAGACCTCATCTTACCTATCACTTCCTCAAGGAGTCCTCTCCAAATCATACCAGTAGAAAGCTGCCTCCAGGGTATTCCTCCTATATTCCTTTATTTTTCTTTCAGGCACTTATCACTATATTGTAATTTTATCCATTTTTACTTGTGAATTGTTTTAATCACTCAACCAGAATATAAACTTCAAAGAAGTAGGGATATAGTCTTTTATTGCTTAGAGCTATACATCCCATGCCCAAACAGAGCCAAGGATGCACTAAAGTAGTGATGGTGAACCTTTTAGAGTTTTCACTGATACAAATAGACCACTGCAACAGGTGTGCCACTGGTTTATCACCACTGCACTGAAGTCTTGGTATATTTGTTATTGACTTGACAAACATTATATCCAATTTTGATTTGATTTGATTATGACAACATTTAAAACATTTGAAGTATGCTATTTTGAGATTGTATGTTTACCCTGTCATATAGGCAAGGTCTGCAGAGTTATGCAACCAAAATTGGAAATGGAAAATTTGGTTGAGTGAAAAGAAGATATTTTTATTTTGGAAAAATAAAAACAAGTTTAAAAGGCTGTACAAATCCGAATCATGTATTTAATGTCTCTGCAGTCTGATTAGAGAGGCCATGAAATGACCCGAGTGCTCAGACCAATATCTGATGACACTGGATAGGTTCATAAACAAATCCTCCTGCTGGACTCTGTGCCAGCCAGTGGGCTGACTTGAAACAGCATGAGGGGTCACTCAAGGGTGCAGCAAGAGGTCTTCTGCATTGAGAGGTACCCACCACAGATGGAAGAGACAGAGAACGGGGTTTCCATTCTAACCACTCTCTGTAAACAGGCAAGGTGATCCCAGATCCAAAAGACACTAGCTGTACTCAACTGAGTAAGGGAAGGAGATGAATAACAAAACACAGGCAAATACGTGTGCACAGATATACATGTGTGTATATTTGTGTGTGGGCACATGGGAAAAAAAAAACCCGGTGTCAATAATGACAGCTTGAGATAGAGCAAGGAGTGCATAAAACTCCTGAGCCCTCAAGCCAGAGGATCGTCTCAGCTGTCAGCAGGTGGTTGACTAATGCTTGTCAGCACCTAATGTTAAAAACAATGACAGCTTTCCACATAAGACTTATCCTCAGTGGAGCATAATGATGTGTGGGTTGGGGGCTAGAGAGGCTGGATAACAACACTTTGCTGCACCAGAAATTCATTTCATTGCAAGGCCTGCATTTCAGTAGAGGGAGCCAGCTGACCCCATAAGAGTAAGAGGTACACAAGGTCCTTGTCGCCTTGCTTCACTGCTTCCTCTGATTGGCCTTCTTCAATTCTATCTTCCAGGTTAATAATAAAAGCTTCCAGTTCCCTTGCAAAAGTTCCAAGGTTAATGTAGAAAGTTTTCAGTGGAAAACTTATCCACCTGGTTTAATTCCAAGAGTTCAGCATATGGCCTAGGATGTGTCTGGCACACATTAAACAGTGCCCACTATTTAAAAAATGCCCCTCTGTGGGGCTCATTAGAGTTGAGAGAATCACTTAGAAGTTGAAGGGAAGAAGGTTATTGTTACTTTGGTGGTTATGCTTGTATCTGTACGATTGTACCTATTATACTTTTAAAGGAGAAAGTGCCTGAGCACAAAATTGGGTAGGAAGAAATGATAAATCAAAAGTGATTTCAATCCCTTTTGAACCTTAAGTGCTATTTTATTTATAAATGTTCAACTTGACCCTCCAGTGCTCTGGACCTTCATTGGAGCAGACTGGTGAGGACTATTCAGCCGTGCGGGTGACCCTGCAGCATCCTTCCCCCAAACCCCATGCTCTCAGGCCTCCTGGTTGTGCCAGTACCTGGATCCACACTGCAGAGGCACAGGTGGTCATAAAGGCCATTGCACTGAACTCCAGAACATAGAACGGAAGTGAACAACTGCAATAAAGTTATACCAGACCTCCACAGTTGGTAAGTTGAAGGAATCGCCACCTTCCATCAGAACCTGGACAATCTTCTGGAGAAGAGCAGCAGGAACCTTCCATAGAATCTTGCAGAGTTTAACCCTGCAGGAGGTCAGGGAGCTCAACTTGTACTTTGCAGCCAGAATTCAGCCTGAATCACAGGGGTCTGCCATTGCCTAGCTGAGACTAATTAACTTAGTTCTGCACATTGCTGCCCACGTTGTCTATTGTGACAGCAGAGATATGCCCTGAAGGAGGCCCTTTAAGTTTTTTTCTTTCTTTTCCTGTTATTTTAAATTTTTATTTTTAAAATTTTATTTTCCCACTCTTCAAATTCTTCCTTTTTTCTTCTTTTTCCCAGTCTCTTGCTCCCCCACATAATTCTTCATCTCCATTTTTGTTCCTTTTCCTGCCTTAATTCAGAATTATTCTTTCTTTTTCTTTTCTTCTCTTTTTTCTTGTCTCCATTGTCACTAGTTTCAAAGGAAAGTGAGTACAATTTATAGCTTCCCTATTACTGTTAAGTTGCTCTATTCTTGTCTTTGTTCTTGTACTCTGTCTCTCTCTCTTGTCTTCAACAATTTTCTAGAGTTGGTGTGATCATCCTGTGTCCTCTGGCTTCACTTGAAACCTTCGCCTGTCCTTCTCCTATCTATTCCTCTCATCCCACTTCCTTGTAAGTCACCATCCTGAAGGGTGAAGTTGTTAAAATGAAGAGTTTATTCACTATAAACATATTCTTTTCTCTAACTGCTTGTAGTATTTTATTCTTCTGTTTGGTTTCTGGGATCTTGAATATTATACGTCTAGGTGTAGATTTCTTTTTTTAAAATTTTTATCATGGCTAGTTGGAGTCCTGTATGCCTCACTTATCTGTATGTGAAAAATTTCTCCACTGTTTGGGAAGTGTTCTGTCATTAATTCTGTGAACAGTTTTTTTAAATGTCATTTTTACTTTCTCCTGCTACTTCATGGGCTCTTATCAGTATTATATTATTCTTTGCATTGTCTAGGAGTTGTTGGATCGATTTCTCATGATCCTTTACTGTTTTTAAGAGATCTCTCTCTTCATGGTCACTGACCACAATCCTATCTTCTATATCTGAAATTCTATCTTCACATTAATTTATCATGCTGTGAATGCTTTCAATAGGGGTTTTTAATGCCTTGGATATCTGTGTGAATCTTTTTCATGGATTCCATTTCTTTCCTATGTTGGACATTCATAGTTTTCATTTCTTTCCTATGCTGGGCCTTCATGGCTTCTATCATGGTCTTAAACTCATCTATTTTTTTTTTGTCAGTTTCTGTCCTACAGTCTCTAATCATGCCTTTCATTGTGCTCACCATCTCTGTAGTTATCTGGGAAATTATTTCTGTTTTGAATTTTTCTAGAGCCTGATTGATCTGTTTTGCTATGAGTTCAGGATGTTGATTGTCAGACTTTTCCAACTCATTTCCCCTATAATTTGCTGTTGGTCAACTGGAAGTCTGTATTTGTGTCTTGCTTAAGTGTTTTATTTTTGTTGGTGGTGCTATCCTTGGTGTAATTCCTGGGTTAGTACTTTGATCTTCCTGATATAGCTGCTCTTTAGGTTTTGAGTCTCTATTGACTCAAAGATACTCTCATTTTCATAATATCTGGAAGGACAACTGATTAATCCAATCACAACCTTTTAGCCCAGTTGATACAATCAGCAACACAATAGCATAGAGCAGAGTTTAGAAATTGACCATATGTGGTAGTTATTAATATATCACCTTTAAACCATGTGAATTAAATCAAAATGGAGAACCAGCCCCAAATAGGTTAATAGTGAATAAACTCTTCAATTTAGCAACTTTACCTTTCAAGATGGGGACTGAAAAGGAGTTAGAAGGAGAGGAGCAGATAGGTAGAAGAATAGGAGAAGGAAATCAGGTCCCCCAAATATAAAGACCTGATTCAAAAATGAGCATCTTAAATGTACAGAAGTAAAAGCAGCAAATAAATATATGAAAAAATGTTCAACATCACTGGTCATCTGAGAGATGCAGAGGAAAACAACACTGAGATTCTGCCTCACCCCAGAAAGAATGGCTGCTATCAAGAAATCAACCGGGGCCGGGTATGGTGGCACATGCCTGTAATCCCAGCACTCAGGAGGCTGAGGCAGGAGGATTGCTGTGAGTTTGAGACCAACCTGGGCTATGTAGTGAGTTCCAGGACAGTATCAACTACACAGTGAGACCCTGTCTCAAAAAACCAAAAAAAAAAAAAAAAAGAAAAAAAAAAAGAAATCAACCAATAAAAAATGCTGGTGGGGCTGTGGGGAAAAAGGAACCCTTCTTCATTGTTGGTGGGAATGCAGACTGGTGCAATCACTGTGGAAATCAATATGGAGATACCTCAAATAACTAGGACTAGAGGTTCTATTTGACCCAGCTATTCCATCTGCTGAGTGTCTTTCCAAAAGAATTAAAGGAATCATACCACAGCAATATATGGGCACCCATGTTTATAATGGCACAGTTTGAAATAGCTAAAACTTGAAAACATGAAAACAGCTGAACTGCCCATCATTTGGAGACTGGATAAAGAAGATGTGGGTTCTCTATAAAATGTAGTACTACTCTGCCATAAAGAATGCGAAACTGGAGTCATTCATAGGAAAATGGATGCATATTGAGGCCATACTCTTAAGTGAAATAAATAAGATACACATGTAAATACAGGATGGTTTCTCTGGTGTGAAAAACTAAAAATGTAAATAAGATCAACATTTTATAACTGATAATGTGAAATAGGAAGAAAAGGGCTAAAGGTGTAGGGGAAATGGGAAGGGTAGGGGAAAGGAAATAAGGGGCAAGAAAAATATGAGAAAAGGAAAAATGGAAAGAAATTCTTTGTAAATAGGGTGAAGGGAGGTCAGGGGCATGGGGAAAAATGAGAACCAAGATCTGTCATGTAGGAGTACAAGATCCCAATGATGAATGTAACTGTACTGCATACCTAAAAAGTACCAATAAATTCAATGAAAAAAAATGTTCAACTTATAATCTGAGGTGCTGAATCTATAAACATTCACCTGCCATATCTGTCCTTCTATGGACAAAGATGATGCCAGGGTGATTTCTGATGTTATTGTTCTGGGAGGGAGCAGTCAGGCTCCATGGCACCATCTCCTACATTGTGGAGAAAAATAACCGGAAGCATTTCTCTTCAGCATGTGGTGAAATCATAAAAATTTTAAAAATAAAAGACTCATTATTTTCATTGTTCAGGAAAAGCCACTACTTCATTTCCTTCAAAGGACTTTCATTTCATTCTTTACTCTTCAAACTAAATCTACTAATTTTGGCCTGGCCTAAGTTATCTAAGCTCTGATTTGGCACTTCCAATCTCCACCCACCCTTCTTAGTGCATAACCAAGGAAACTGTTATTGCAGGGAAAAAAATGAATTGGTGAATGAGAACATATCATCCTACTTGGGAGCAGTCAACTCATAGTTAACAGAATTGGCAGTGTGAATGAACATTGGAGTTAATCAGGCAAAAAGGCATAAGCATTTTCAGATAATAGCATTGAGTAAAGTTATTGTTCACCTCTGTGGATGAGGCCTAGGAGAGTGCTCAAAAGAAATCTGAACCCACCTGCTTCTTGGCTCTGCCCTTCAATTTCTTCTGCACTTTGCTTTTCCTCCAGACCATTTTCATCTTTCAAGAAAACCACAGAGGAAAAAACATACATCAAGTCAATTTATGAAATATTTCTTCATGGCTAATACGCAGCACTGAAATTAATTGCAACCAATGTAGCATGACTCCCTATAAAGCAAGGCAGAGAGATGAATCAGAGGCATGAAACAGAAAAATTACCTGTATAAATAGGTGCATTTATACTCTTCCCTTCTCACATAATTTGCTAGATGAAATGTTGGACTGCAGTAAACAAAATTCACTCAGCAGTCCTGGTAACATCTCTCTGCGTGGCATTTCTCCAAATGCAATACAGATTTAAATTCTAATTTGCTTTTCTCCTTTAACTCAAGTAATGCATTGTGCAAGGAAACTGGCTGTTTGAGTTTCTATGCCTTTTATTTTTCTGTTTAATAGGTTGTTAAAGAGTCTATTTTCATTTAATTTGTACATTAGAATCTAACATACTCATGCTATGAAATATTGTCTTGAACACATTATGTCTAAAATGTAACTGTGAAAAATAAATGGGCAGATGCAATGGAAGCCATATATTAGCAATTATTTAAAATTCAATTTTGCCTTTAAACATATTCTAAATATGCGAATTTATGGGTAGAAAAAATAAGCTTTTTAAAGATAAGTAGGGCCTGATTTTATAACTCCTTGCTAGGAAGGTCTTCAAATCACTCTTTGAAAAACAAAACAAATAAGATGATAAATTTATACGAGGAGATAAGAACAAAATATAAAACATCTGATTAGAGAACAGAGAAGCAGAATTTACCAGCCTAGATTAATAGGGGTTAAAGATGATCACAAATCTTTTGTCTTTTAAGACACAGAGTCTGTCTTCTGTTTGGATCTTGGTGATATTGTGAATGCTTAGATCCAAGGAATGAGGTGGAAGTGATGCACTGGGACTTCCAGATGCCTTTAGAGGACGGGCAGTTTCTGCTTTCTCCTTTTGAAAAGAAAGCCACGGCTGTAAAAATGTCTAGGCCAGCCTCCCAGGGAGACACAAGGGCCAGAGGTCAAGCTGCCAGCTGAATGGAGCTGCATGATAATTTTAGCCATTGTCACAGGAGCAGAAGAATCATCCAACTGAGCCCTTTTAAAATTTCTGACCTCCAACAAGCCCAGATAATGGATCCTGATCCTTCTTAAGTGTTTTGACTTGATGCCATCTGCTATGACTATTACTATTACTACTGGCAGAAACATGAAGATGGAGAACTTCTCTAGAGGACTCTTCTGTTAGGGAGAAGAAACCAACTCAGAAGCTATGAAAGAATACTCAATCAAGAAGCTCTGAAAAAGTCAACTATTGAAGAAAGTGTCAGATCTGAACACATTTACATTTGACCTGAATGAAAGACAAAGTTTATAAGAAAATGATAAAAAACAAGTGATGATCTGAAGGTTTGGAGGAACACAGTCAGTGAATACATAAATATGTACAGAAAACCCTATCTGCTCAGAACTGTGCCATTTGACATGAGGGACACAGAGTAGTCTTTAATATGAGAATCTGGGCAACTCTGTATGCTCTTAAACCCATTGTTCTCGATGGCCTATTCACAAGGACCACAGAGCTATCTGGCATTTTGTCTTGTTTTTCCTTGTGTGGGGGAAAACAGCACTGTCTTTTGCTCTAGGCAGGAAAAAACCAACATGGCTGTTCTCGCTCCCTTAACAAGGCCTGGCTGGTACAGAGTATGTGCCAAAAACTTTGCCAATATTTTCCCCCTCCTTCCCACCAACTGGGTTGAGTCAAATTGGAGAAATCTGCCAAGTTTTCCCATAAGACAGACTTCATAACACAGATTTCACAATAGGCCTGAAGTCTCGGATGACAGGCTGCCTTTAAAATTGGTTTGGTTACTTCACCTCTTACAGAGTGGGGATTGAGAAAAAGACAAACAAGAAAAGTGAAATAATTAAACTGAGGGAATACAAGGAATTGGTTCCAGCAGTTTAAAATGCATAAAAAAGAAATTCATGGTCTGACTCCCAGATAAAATGTTCTAATAATAAAATCCAGCCTGGCTGTTTACCAAATGCACATGTTCCTGGGTTTCCTCTTTAGTTTGAAAACATGCCCTTCCTCTCCCTATTACAGACTTCGGAGTAGCATACTTTTGTCTGACATTTTGCGTCTCTGTTGCACAGTTTTCTACTTGCAGTATTTTTGCCCTTGGGAAACAAACTTGAGATCCTGGCATGTTTATCACAGAGTAAATGCATCCTAGAAGCCTGCTGGATTTGCCATTTGAGCAACATGCCTGCAGATGAAAAGGGTTGGGTGTATTGTTTTCATCAATTTCCAAGACAGTGCATCCTCAAATCCAGCAGGGGGAACCAATGTAGAAGCCTTGTTTCCAATCCCAGCATATGCATTCCTGGGCAATTAGATTGGCATTCGTTTCACTCTCTTTTAGAGGACATTTTGTCTGGCTTAAAAGTTTCCATCCATTTTAAATGCCCCAAAGGGTGAGTTCCTAGTGAAACAATGTTCATCTACCGGTAAGGAACAAAAAAAAATCACATTACTCAGTTGTAAGTATTTGATAAGGGCATGATTTCCCTTTATCAGTCTTGTCTGATTAGCTGTCTTCACAGGAAGCACATAAGCAATAAAAAGTTATGTAGATTTGGGCATATAAAGTTGTGGCATTTAGAAGGGATTTTAAAAGGCTTACAATAAATGTGAAGCAATGTGTACAGGGATGTGCCAACCTATTTTGTTAGCTTAAAAATTTCACACAGATGCTTCATTCTAAATAGCTAAATTCTCCTAGTTAATACACCTTTAAGATCACGTATTTACTTCAGATAATAAATCTCCATAGCATTTATGTTGAGTGTGACATAACTCTCTGCTTTCTCATCCTTCTTATTTTTCCAGAATTAGTATTCTGACAATTCATATTTATTGAGCATACACAATTTGCAAAAATATTTCATGAATTTTATAGAACTAAAATAAGAGGTCTTTGCTGCAAAGGGAATCCTTATAAACAAAAGGAATATACCATTCACTGCACTATGATCATGCTTAATTCCATATGGGTGAGTTTTGCAAGAACAAAATCTCAACATCATGGTCCTGAATGGCTGACTTGATGTTTGTAGTTCTTTTCATGATGTGTTCATGGAGATGAGAAGAGAAAGGGAAGTAAATCAGATTAAATTCATCATTGCTACAGGGGAAGCAATTGTGATGCCTACTAGTGTGCTTCCCTCTCCTCTCCTCTCCTCTCCTCTCCTCTCCTCTCCTCT